TGTCTCTGCTTTTTACTATGCAATCTAGATTTCTCATAGCTTTCCTCCCCAGGAGCAAGCGTCTTTTAATTTTTTGGCTGCAGTCCCCATCTGCGGTGATCTTGGAGCCCAGGAAAATAAAATCTGTCACTACCTCCATTTCTTCCCCATCTTTTTGCCAGGAAGTGAGAGGACCGGATGCCATGATCTTAGTTTTCTTAATGTTGAGTTTCAAGCCAACTTTTGCACTCTCCTCCTTCACCCGCATCAAGAGGCTCTTTAGTTCCTCTTCACTTTCTGCCATGAGAGTGGTATCATCTGCATATCTGAGATTGTTGATATTTCTCCCAGCAATCTTAATTCCAACTGGTGATTCATCTAGCCCCGCCTTTCCCATGATGTGCTCTGCATATAAGTTAAATAGGCAGGGTGACAGTATACAGCCTTGCCGAATTCCTTTCTCAATTTTGAACCAATCAGTGGTTCCATGTCCAGTGCTCGCTGTTGCTTCTTGACCCGCATATAGGTTTCTCCAGAGACAAATAAGATGGTCTGGTACTCCCATCTCTTTAAGAACTTGCCACAATTTGAAATGCTACAAAAACCCTTAGCTTTTAAACCTGAAATTTTCTTGTTAGGTATTGTACCAGAAAATATTAGCTTCCTACTTTAGCATTCCAATCCCCCATGATGATAAGGACATCATTTTGGGGTGTTAATTCTAGAAGTTGTTGTAGGCCTTCATAGAACTGGTCAACTTCAGCCTCTTCAGCACCAGTGGTTGGGGCATAGACTTGGACTATTGTGATGTTGAATGGTTTGCCTTGGATTCGAACTGAGAACATTCTGTCATTTTGGAGACTGTATCCCAATACTGCTTTTCCTACTCTTTTATTGACTATGAAGGCTACGCCATTTCTTCGGAGGGATTCTTGCCTGCAGTAGTATACCTGATGGTCATATGAATTAAATTCACCCATTCCTGTCCATTTTAGTTCACTGATTCCTAAGATGCCGATGTTCAGTCTTGTCATCTCTTGTTTGACCACATCCAGCTTGCCTTGATTCATGGATCTTACATTCCAGTTTCCTATGGAGTATAGATCTTTACAGCATCGGACTCTCCTTTCACCACCAGATACATCTGCAACTGAGTGTCCTTTCGGCTTTGACCCAGTCACTTCATTCTTTCTGGTGCTACTAGTACTAGTCCTCTGCTCTTCCCCAGTAGCATATTGGGCACCTTTCGACCTGAGGGGCTCATCTTCCAGCGTCATATCTTTTTGCGTTTTGGTACTGTCCATGGGGTTTTCATGGCAAAGATACTGGAGTGGGTTGCCATTTCCTTCTCCAGTGGACATGCAAACCTACCCAAAGATTAATAATCAAAATTATCTAACAAGGTGTTGTAGAACTCAGATGGTGGGGAGTGGTCCTCTTGAAAAGGTGTGGGATGGGAGAGGAGAAACAGGACAGAAATTAATCTAGTCCTAAATGAGGCTCAGCAAAGGCAGAAGGGTTATTTAACATCCAGGCCAATCAGATGCTTGTAAAAGGAAGAATTCCCAGCTCCAGCCTCTAAATGAAGCTGCGGTTCATGTCAGGAGTGAAAAGAATCCTCAGACTCTTGCCAGAGGCTTGTAATCTGGACAGGAAAGGTAGTCGAAAGCTTTCTGCTAGCATTTGGACCTCGTCTGAGCAAAAGGTTTTCCTAGTTATTTCTGGTTCTTGGCTTTGTCCCTTGGCTGACTGCTGGCTTTGTTCCCCAGCTCCTACACCCTGGCTCAGCTCTTGGTCCCTGACAGCTGCGTGTGGCTCAGCCCTGAGAGTGCAGCTGTTTTGTGCCTCCATGACTGGAAAGCTACTCCCCTTATTTCTTTAGGCAATCCTGTCTCGGATTGGCTGCTGGTGATGACAACCAGCAGCAAACATTGTCAGGTCCTTTTTTGAATTGACTTTTTGACAATACAATCTGCCCATTTTGGTTGTGTGCTCTTTTCATTTTTCCAACCTTAAATTCAGTGTTTCCTGAACATTGATTTGTTTAAAAAGTTTAAATGAATGTGTACATCCATTTTTGTGTACATTTTTCCTGGTGCATAAATTTTATGTGCGTTTTGTAATGTACAGACTTCTGTACAAAGATTTAGACTGAAAAATTCCACTAAAGTTTTCAAAGAAGTAGATATGTAGAGCAATAACTGAATTTTGGATTGTTGGTTTGAACTTGTGAAATTAGATTTCATTTGATTTTATTGTTGTGAACCACCCGCATACTTTTGGGATGCCATAAACTCCAATAAATAAATGTATAAATTTGTGAACTGAACCATATTCCTTCCCATCCCTCCATTCTTTGCACATTATTATCTCAGAGTTGGCAGGGACTTAAATCCACAAAAAGCCAATTCTAAAGCCATTTTAGAATTGTTAACTGAAATTTTATAACTTGAATCTCAGCATTCCTGAGGTACTGTTTATAAGCAGCATAGAAGTTAGGCAGTGTGACAGAGATGCTAATGTTTATTTAGGGTAGTAGTGGCCAACTTGTTCAATTCCCATCAGTCCTAGCAAGTATAGCCAATGATGGGGGAGGATGGGGGTAATATGCCAAATTGCAGAAAGCCTCTATTTGCCCACTCCTGTTTCAGAGTAGACCTTTATTAGGAGAAAGCAGTAAGGTTGCCCGAATGCTCCTGTATTTAAGTGGTGCTTTCAATTTAGGAAATTAAATTCCATTTAGGATCAGATTGTCAGGCCTTCATCAAGATTATTTCCTTAATAGAAATAAGTAGTCTTTGAGCTAAGTCGAGTGCTTTATACAGGAGAATATTTCCTGCATCCTTTGAAAGTTTGCTGAAAGCTGCTGTGTTTCTACGCCTCTGCTTTACAGTGCTTCGCAGTTCTTATGTTTGGTATACTGGTGTTGATGGTAGCACTGCCAGCTGGCTGCAGACCACAGCAGTGGCCTAAGAATGTTAAGAGGAAGACTTAAACAATTTCACTAATGTACTGGAGTCAATGAAATTGCTTAGCCTGTCACTGAAAGCAGCGTTAAACACTCGTGACAGGTTTAGCCTCACGTAACCTCAAAATGCTTGGGACATGAAGTGCCTCCCTCATTGCAGTCAGCTTGATCTACCACTAGGTGACATTGCTTAACTTAGAAAATATGTAAATATGCACAAATAACTATCTATCAAAATTGCAAAACATTTTAATGATAACCAGGGTTCTGCAGTCTCGATATCAAGGTTGGCCTTGGGCATTTTTGAGGAGTGACATGTTAAAATGCTACCTGGCTCAGTTCCTAAAACTGCAATGGCTTCTGGTGGAGCCCTTAACTTGTCTTCTCTAAGCCTTCAATGTACCTCCTTCCTTTAAAACTCAGTATCATGCTGAGATTTCACCTGGTGCATGACTGCTTTTTGAACTTTTCCCTGTTAAATCAAGATGGTTTTACTGAGACTGCTTTGCTACTCCTACTGTATTAGGCCTTTTATGAACTACTTGCTGCTAGTGGGTATTTTCATCCCACCCTCCCCCAAAACTATGACAATTGTTTGTCTTTGTTTTTTAGTGTTTTTTTTTTTTAGTAAAAGTTATTTCTACAGACAGCTAAAGACTACTGTACTGTTCATTAAATAGAATGGGTCTGAGTGATTCTTACCAAGTATAAAGATAGTTGAGGGTCCTGACTATTCTGACAAACCCAGTTTTAGTACCAGGATGAATATACATTTAAGACAACATTGTTTGAAGCTCTAGATATTAATGCATTACAGAAATGATCCATTGATCCTGCAGAGGGGGAAACAAAGATGATGCTGAGACTGGGGACAAAGCCTTATGGGGAGAGAATGGAAGAATTGGGCATGATAGCCTTGAGAAGGGAGATCTTCAAGTGTGTGGAAGGTTGGTGTACAGTGGAGGGTGAGGATCTCTTTCCTTTCTCTTCATGCACTTCTTCCAGAGCGTGTGACATGGAATAATGGGTTCAGGTTACAGGAACTTCAAGCTGAACTTTAGGAAAAAACTTCCTGTCTGTAAGGGCAATATGCTAATAGAACCAATTACCTAGGAAGATCATGGACTCTTGCACATTGGAGGCTTTGAAGAGGCTTTAGGGTTGCTTCAACTTGGAGTCTTACGCTCAGTAGGTTGTTGGACCGAACCCAATGGTCTTATTGGCCCCTTCCAACTCTGGTATGCTATATATGAGTCTGTGGTTTAACTGGTATACATGAGTGGCATAAGACTGAATAGCCTGAACACTAGAATAGTTCTTCACAGACCACTGAAATTTACTTCAAGGAAAGTGAGCATCGGTTTGGAGCCCCAGTTGCATAGCATGCATATCATCCTTCAACAACCATTCCCATACCATAAGGTGAAATGCTGTACATGATTGATCCATAGTTACATATTTGGAATTGACACCAGGCCCTTTTGGGTGAAACACTAAATTCTACTTTAGCATTATGTGCATGGGCTGGTGCAAAATTCAGGTTTCTGTGCTTTTTTCCTCCCCTCTTCTCCTTCAATATGGTTGTGAAAAAGCATTTGGAAGCTGTTCTTAACCAGAGTTCCCTGTTCCATTTGAACTCAGGAGAACTAAGTCTAGTTTAATTTTGGTCTGTTCAAAGAAACCAGATACAAACAATGGTTCATAAACCTAGTTTGTCCACTAAGCCTGATTTAACTAGACAGAAGTTCCCAACTTTGGATGTAATGGGCTATTCTACTTCATTTAAACATAGAAACATATATTTTTGGGAGAGATGACAACAGCTTGAGCCCTGTGCTTGTAATACTAAGCCATGTTCAGTGGGAAAATTCAAGAATGTGCATAATTTTGTCACTGAAGTGAATAAAACATACTGGTTGCTGTTTTGTTTTGCAAAGTTCATGAGAAGTTCATAGACAAGGTACAATCAACTTTTTATAAGTAGTAATGCTCTATAGATGAGATATATACAGAGAAAATATTTATCTGATGTTTTAATACCTTTATTTTTCAGGGGGATCAGATATTGAATATTTTGATTTCTATAAACCAGTGGTGTGGTTCTGGATCCTTGTGGGCCTTGCATATTTTGCTGCTGTTCTGAGCATGATTGGCGATTGGCTAAGAGTTATATCCAAAAAGACCAAGGAAGAGGTAAGGATGTTCTCAGGAACTTGCAGAATTTTTATTAGTGCTCAAAACACAACCAGGATTTTTTTCCCTATCATTTTCATTAAAAACCTAACTTAACCATTTTATTTCATTAACATCAATCACACAAGACGGCAAAGTAATGCTATTGTCAGACCTCAAAAATGACTGTAATAATGGCTTGATATAATTGCCAGCAGTTCCATTTCTACCAATATAGTAACAAGTTCATAGAATTAACCTGCTCTAGCCACATTATTTGTATCATTTTATAAATTTAGATTTATAAAACACAATCTACATTTGAATCTACACATCTAAATCTACATCATCGATTGAAATCTTACAGTCCTGAAGCCCTATCAAAGTATTACTCATGTGTAGAACACATACAATTTCTAAGTGGAGCAGTACCCACTTCTTGCCATATTGAAATTCATAACATGCAAGCTTCACACTTTAATGTATGTATACTCATAGTGGTTACCTGCAAAATAACCATTGGAACCAAGAGTCATTTGTACTTTGGGGATTCTTGATATTGGAAATCATGTGCTTTTTTGCTGAGTTCTGTTCTGGTAGAGCTCCTGTGTTTGACTAGATGTTTGGGTGTAGTGGTCTCCTTACAGACTACAATGTCCAGTGTGCAGATGTCAAACTTGTGACGTAGGGGATGGAGTTTCTGATAACAAGGGCAAACTGAGAAATCTGCCCCCCAGCAGCTAGAGACCATGAGTGCCTTGCACACGAGCAACACATGGATATGACTTTAGTCGTTGTTTAATATTCTGTTTTATAACATCGATGGAACTTGTCTTGCAACAGAAATTTCTGTGTCTTAGTATGGGACCCATGGAAGAATGTCCCTGTTTAGGGTTCCAGGCACCCTGGAATGGGGTGTTGCAGTCCTATGGCGGCCAGGACTAGGAAGGGGGAAAAGGACACTGATTTTCTTTCAAGCTATCCAAGACCTTCCGCTGCACTCCTAAGCATCTTATACCCATTTAGCACAGTCAGGGTTTTCAGAATCAACTATATAATATTTCCTATATATTGTTTGTAAGCCATCCAGAGATGCAGTTATGGGTTAGAAATATCCCAAATAAAATAAAATGCATTGGTCTTTGTGCAAAGGGATGGCATTGTCACCTTGGGTTTTTTCTCCATACATCTGCAAGTCTCAGGGTTTCCCGAAAATGTTGATAACTCCCTTTGGTCGGCCAGCACTCCTGCTTTGCCCAGAGTCTTACCTGTTGGTACTGTTTAGCTGAGTTTTATTTTAGAATGAGTGATAATGTAGATACCAGTATTCATTAGCAGGATCTGATTTACAATTCATAGTCAATTGTTGAAGATTTTCTTATTTATTTATTTCCTATTTTTATTATAAAAGAATCCCAGAGCAAGATACAAATCCATTAAAGTATAATTATATAATGTTTACTGGTAAAACAGGGTAGATTTCACATGTCGAATGGTTATTTTGCTGACATTTCTTGGAATAAGCATCTACCTCTCCTAATTCTAATCTCAACAATTAGTTCAGGCTCATTGTATTGCAATGCATATACTTCAGATGAATGTCAGTCATTTATGACAAAAAGACATATAGCCCTAATATTTAGTGTGACTCACAGGAAAGGAGGCATTTAAAAGAAATGTTTTAAAACACTGCATAAGCCTCTCTGTGCTTTAGAACTGAAATAGTTTGTGTTTCTTAAAAGCTGTAAATAAAGAAAGCAATAATTTAGTTGAATTTTGATATACATGTATGCAAATATAAATGTTTTAAATCAGCATATTAATCATTGAGAAATTATACCAAATATTACATTTAGCGTTTTGCGTAAGTAATTTCATAAAATATGTTATGGCCCACATTAAAGATCATCCTGAAAAATATCTGCAGCTATTCTCATTCAGATGCATATTCATTTGCAGGCAGATGGTCTGCTTTCCCTTCAAACGTGTTTTTAAATAACAATGCACATCTATTGGTGACAGACAGTGGTTATAAATTATTTTAATTAAAATATCAGATTAAAAAAGATTGCTTTCTTGGGAGTAGGATAAAGATATATTTTCTTACTTGATGGATTCTATGAACAAAGGGTGCTTAAAAATCAGGGAACACATTGGTTTTGTTCTCCCTTAGTTCAGTTTATCTAAATATAAACTTATTTTCATTTTTCCGAACAAAATGCAAATAATCATATGTTTTGATGAAGTATTGGTGCAGTGATCCTCTACTTGTCTTCCATGTTCAGTAGTATTCTTTAATCAGGAAGTTACAGGCTGAGTACTTCAGTTTTCATGTTGATTTAGTCCAAGGAAAACCTGGCATTGAGCTTATAATCATACATTAAACTGAATACATTTTTCTTGTAGACAGCACTGCAACACTTTGGAAAAATGCCTATTAATCTAGGACCTGATCTGACATATGGCACAAGGGTGCTAAACTCTCATGTTTCCTGTCAAATTGTCACATGATGCAGGAAGAATCTTTCTGTAGCTTCTGTTATCAAAGGTCACATTTCAATGATTATGAGTTGCTTAAGAGGTTTCCTTTTCTTAAGGAATGATATAAGAGGTATTTTCAATTGACATTGTATAATAGAAATTCTCAGCGAACAGGGTAATGGTGTTAAATTCTAGTTAATATTGATGAAAAATTAGGATAAACAGGAGTTCTCCAACCCTGTTTTGTGTTCCTGTAAGTTGTGCTGTCAAATATTAGCTGGCTGATACCTCCAGTTGGTGACATTGCACTTATATAAAGCTCTTCGTCTGGCAGAACATGGATAGAGCCAATTTTCAACATTTTCCCTCTTCCCCAGAGGACTTGGGAACATACTGCAACACCACAGGGCTGTAAGAATCACCAAAACCCACTCTATTCTGCCAACAGAAGCCACAGTCAGTGAGGTGATATCAAGTGGATATGACTTTACACTCAAAACCATTCAGACAGTGGGGTACTACCAACTGGATGCCAGACTAGCAAATGTTTTTCTTCATGCTGATAAGTGGTGGGTGCTGAGAAGACACAGTGACATGGGTTTTTGCTCTCATGGCCTGCTCATGAGCTTGCTAGAAGCATTTCTTTGGTCACTGTCAGGAACAGCTTGCCAAACTACAGAGATAAAAGAAGTAGCAGAACCTGCTGAGTTAGGCCAGGAGGTCTCTACCACAGCATCTGATTCCCAGCAGCCACCAAATAAATATTCTGGATATGGCTTTTTTTACTGCTTGCCTCCAAGTAACTGGTATTCAGAGATAAATATCCAGTATAGATCTGTCCTCCACACATGTATCTAATTCTGTATCTGTCCACACAGAAAATCAAATTGCATAAATTAATTAAGATCTATGTGAAGAATTAGCTGGCCACCAGTGTAGATGGCATTAATAGGTGGATAGACAAATTCATGGCAGATAAATCTGTTCATCTGGGACTAGATTGGGCTATTAGTCCTAATCACTATATGCTACTTGCAATATGCTACTGTATGTTATATGCTACAGATATAAAATGCTTATGTACTCCAGTTTCAGATAACATGGGTGGGATGGTGCTATTTCACTCATGTCCTGCCTGTGAGATTTCTCTGGGCAGCTGGTTGGCCACTGTGTGAATAGAATGGACTTGGATCTGATCCAACATGGCTCTTCTTATGTTCATTTGAATATACTACTAATGAAGTGCAATCTTAAACCTGTTTATTCAACGGAAAGCTCCATTGAGTTAGTGGAAATTTGCTGCAGGGAAAAATGCATCGGTTTGCAGCCATATTCTTAAATGCAAGTAGCTCTGTTTAATTCTACATTAAATATTTTATGTTGTACTACATCTCTTTTACTCTTAGAATGAATGAGGAATAGTTTCTATGACATGAATTGTGACTGGACCAAACGTTAGACTTTGCCGTGGAAGACTGCTGCAAATAGTGCTTTCTTTTCTCACTTTAATGTGTAATATGGAATATACACATCAAGCTCAGAGGAGCCAAGTCTCAGTTTTGTGTTCCCCTTAGCAGTTCCTGTCAAGGACATGGAGATTCATAATGAGATTGTACTAACCATATTATTCCAGCCAGGATGGGGGTACCTATAAGTCTAGACACTATGTCAGATAATTTACTTAGTCTAATAGATGCACTGCCTCTTTAAAAAGAAGGGGAAAGCACAGTATATGCATTAGGATGCAATCTATGCAAGTTTAAATATAAGGAACATATATGCTGGCTGAGAGAGGCTGGAAATTATAGGAGGATTTATTTATTTATTTATTTATTTATTTATTTAAACCTTTTTGCTGCATTAGCATACATAGGCTTGTTCCATTAATTTCTTTTCTGTTGCATACTCACTACACTATTACTTGACAGGCCCTGTAACACAAAACAGGCAACTGGAATGGATGTTCTGTTTTTACATCATTGGTTTTTCTCACTTCTGTAGCCTAAACAAATGCCTTCATGCATTGTTACTACAGAAATGAAAAACACATTGTCAACTGTTCCTGTTCCCTTGACTAAAGCAAGATCTTGTTACCTAATGGCTTTTACTTGAATAGTCTCCCCATGATCTCCCACATTTCTGTTCTGATTAACTGTAGTCAAGGTGCCATTGCAAAATGTCTGTTCCTAATTATATCAATGTCCTATCGATATGCCTAGACTCATATGGTGTTAATCCTCCATTAATGCAGGATGCAAGCACTTACAAGGAAAAGTGATTTCTTGCAATAGGTTTTAGAACTTTGGTAAGGGGTAGACTGAAGAGTATGCATTTTATGCTATCCAGAAACTCCAAGCACAGTGCATTAGCAAGCTGTTTTAAACTACTTTTTAAAGAAGGAAGTTACATAACCTTTACCTGGATTATGTGCCATGCCAGAAATGTTTCTTTCTCATAAGTTCACAGATACTCCCTATGACATCTTTCTAATATATTTCTCCCATATCCTTCCATGCATGCACACCATGTGTTTGGCAGTT